CAGTCTCCCTTTACCTTGTTGAGCAAAAAAGATGAATGGTTAAGTCCGGGGTGTGATTTCCTCCTCCTTCCAGTTCTTTAAGCTCTAAAGCGTAAATGCGTATGTGAGAAAATATAAAATGTAAAACTTATCAGCGTGAGAAAATATAAAATGTAAAACTTATCAGCTTTCTCTCTCTCTTTTTTTTTTTAAACCTAACCTCCCTTTAACCCTTTAGTAAAAATGTGAACCATGGTTATCAAAAATAATTTCCCTTCCCTTATTATAAATAATTAAAATATAATATATAAACAATTACAATAATTTTCTCCAAATACTTATTATAACAAAATATCATAAGAATAGATAGTTCTCTAATAAATATTACACAAAATAATTTTCATAAATATTTATTATTTAATTAAAATACTAATAATTATTAAAAACCTCTAAAATATTCTATAAGACCTATTTAATTAATTAAAACAATTATAAGAAAATAATCCCAATAAATATAAAAATAAATAATAATTAAACTATTATATTAGTAGAAAATTCGGGATATTACACCATGCAGCCAAATACTAAAGTGTGTTTGTGTGTGTATTGCTAATTTTGTCATAAATATACCACACATACTATATAATGATGTGTGCACATTAATTAGTTACATGTGTTTCAGGAGTGAAATAACTAGCCAATTCTTCAGTGATCCTTTCTTCCTTCATTACCATGTAGCCTTAAAAGTTAATTTTGAATTATTTTATTTCTCTTACCATTGGTTTGAGATGGAAAGGCAACACCAAATGAAGAAAAGCTTAAGCTAGAAACACGAAGTCTTGTATTCCTAAATATATTATATGGAACAACACCCAATCCCATGCATTGTACTCTCTCAGAGTGTTCTGGCCCTAACAATCCTTGAAATCAATCCTTGAAGTCAATTTTTCTAAAGAAAAATTTACCATTATAGTCTTTGCTGCATCATTTACAAATGATCCATTTTTCCTTTTATGAGTTTCAATATATAATTGTCCATGACTTGGTACCTTCCTAGTTTCTAACAACTAAGATAAATAAAGAGTGAGTAAATATTAAACTTTTTAAATAATAAAAGTTAACGTTTAGTGTCATTACTAACTCATTTCTTCTTCTATGATTAGCTTTGGAGCCACCAGTGTGTGGAATAACTTACTTCGAATTTCTTTATTTCTCCTGTGACACCCTTACTACCCCAACACATATATAAATATAATATTTTTATTTTATTTATTTATTTATTTATTTTTTTCTTCTTCTTTTCTGTTTTTTTTAAGTGCCAAATAACTCAATATCAACAATATAGAAGTATTCCCTAAAAGCACCCCCACACTTATAAAGAACCCATTCCCAAAACAATTCCAAAGCTCCTTTAATCCCTAAGGTTATGGGATATCATGGTTTTTCACTTTTGGCTTATAATGAGCTAAAATCAAGGAAGGGATATAAAGGCTCAAAGAGGGAAACTAGGGGAAAAAAA